ACCCAGGCAGGCTATCATACCCAGCAACGGCTACCGTACTCCTTAACCAGGCAGGCTACCATACTCAGTAACGGCTACCGTACTCCTTAACCAGACTAGCTACCGTACCCAGTAGCGGCTACCTGGCTACCGTCCCAATTTTACAGTAATTCAGCTAGCTAATTATGGTAGCATTCCTTCTAGATATAAAGCCTAAAGATCTAAATTTAGCGATCATGGCTTTGATGCGGGGTTTTAGGCCAACGTTTCTCACAGCTACGGTCACCGTACCCAGTAACGGCTACCGTACTCCGGTAGCCGGCCTGGTAGAGTGGCTATTCGAGTAGAGTAGCTTTTTGAGGCTGTAGGGGGGAATTGGGGGAATTACTCATAAGTTCTTTATCTCTCTGCAGTGATAGATGTGCAGCTTACCCATCATCGATCGAGTCTCTTTCGGTGTAGCGCGATATGTTTCACAATGCGTTTTTGATGATCGATTGTCAACAGAGCGACCGCGGCGTATCTTTAAAAATGAAAGAAATTGTCTTGTTCTTGTCCTTGTTCTTGTCCTTGTTCTTGTCCTTGTTCCTGTTCTTGTTCTTGTTCTTGTTCTTGTTCTTGTTCTTGTCCTTGTTCTTGTTCTTGTTCTTGTTCTTGTTCTTGTCCTTGTTCCTGTTCTTGTTCTTGTTCTTGTCCTTGTTCCTGTTCTTGTTCTTGTTCTTGTCCTTGTTCTTTTCTTATCTAAAAATGTAATGAAAGAATTTACAGTGTCTTTAATTTATAATAATAATGACTCTGGCTTTATGACTTGAAAAGTTTAAAGTTTAAAGTCGATTCTATATTGATGACTATTCGATTCTAGAGTTTAGAGTCTATTCAAAGTCTAGAGTCTATTCTAGAGTTTAGAGTCTATTCTATATTGATGAGTTGAAAACTAGAAAGTTTAGAGTCGATTCTAGAGTGAATTTTGAGAGAAAAGCCTTCAAAGAGAGCTTATTTGAATCTTTTTTTTGAAAGCATATCTAAATTAAAGATTCTTTTGAATCTCTAGACACTATAGAATGATTTAGAGTGTTCTAGACCCATTTAGAGTGTTCTAGAGTCATTTAGAGTGTTCTAGAGCCATTTAGAGTGTTCTAGAGTCATTTAGAGTGTTTAAACAAAACAAAAAGAAGACAAAAGAAGATTTGATAGTTAGCGGAGCCGAACCAGAGTCGCGCTTCCCTGGACTTTCATGGAGATTATCCATTACACCATTGGCTCCTTTTGAGAAGCCGGCAAGAAGTTCTTTAAAAGCTTTGAAACCTTTTTCTTCGTTTTCCCCTTTTCGGTACTTTTGTTGATCAAATCGTCGATTTTCATCGAATTTCTTGCATTTGCCGAACATTTTAGTTGATGGATTTCTAAATTTAAATCCAAATTACTTTTAACTATTAAAATCGAATGTTTATCTATTATTTAATGTAAAATAAAGTTAATTAAAGTTAAATAAAGTTAAATAAAGTTAAATAAAGTTAATTAAAGTTAATTAAAGTTAATTAAAGTTAAATAAAGTTAATTAAAGTTAAATAAAGTTAAATAAAGTTAAATAAAGCCAAACAAAGCCAAACAAAGCCAAACAAAGCCAAATAAAGCTAAATAAAACCAAATAAAGCCAAATAAAGCCAAATAAAACCAACTAAAGCCAACTAAAGCCAACTAAAGCCAAACAAACTCAAATAAATCCAAATAATATCAAATCTCGATCTTCCTTTAGATCTAAACGCGTTTCCCTTTGTCAAAACTCTCAACGAATTCATCAAAACACTAGAAGAACGCTTTTTGAAACTCAATTCACATTTACATTTATTGATTACGGGTTTTTGCTTTGTTTTTGCTTTGTTTTTCGAAACTTTCGATACTTTATTGGCTTTTACAATACTTTTTAGTGTTAGCAGAAGCAGAAAGCACAATGTTAGCGCAAGCAGAACGCACAGAAAGCACAATGTTAGCAGAAATGTGCAAAAAAATTGTTATTTGTGCTTTAAAAAAAACTTACGCAACGAGTGTTTACTGTAGAGACGCTCACAGAAATCACACTCCAGCATTACACCCATATTCGAAAGAGACGAGATTTGTTTCTAGACTTTGAAAAGCTCAAATCGTCGCTAGATTTAAGAAGAATACACATAAAGACGAAAATGATTGATAAAAAGCAATATAATGGAATGGATAGCAAAGATAACGTCAAGAATTCACTAGAGCTTCAAGCTCATGATCATCTACAGATAATTTAAAGCTTTGGACTATTGGAGAGTATTGGAGTATTGGAGTATTGGAGTATTGGAGTATTGAACTATTAGACTATTGGGCTATTAGACTATTGGACTATTGGACTATTGAACTATTGAACTATTGGACTATTAGACTATTAGACTACTGGGCTATTGAACTATTGAACTATTGAACTATTGGACTATTAGACTCAAACTCTAGGAAGTCAATTCTAAATTCTGGCTGTCTCTTATTGGAAAAGAGTAAGAGACAAAACTCCTTAAGCGGCCAGGTCGGCCAGCTGGCCAATTACCGTATTCTCTCTAACATTAGTGCACCTTAAGCGTTGCCTAAATTCCTCGAAATCTCGAGAAGCGCTTATCAGAACCTATCGATGTGGGGTCGGAAAATGTAGCTGACAATGAGATCTAGTGGGGGATTTGAGTGTTGAGCTTCTGCAGCTTCTACAGCCTCTGCAGCTTCTGCATCTTCTGCAACTTCTGCAGCTTCTACAACTTCTGCAACTTCTGCAGCTTCTGCAGCTTCTCCAGCTTCTCCAGCTTCTGTAGCCTCTACAGCTTCTGCAGCTTCTACAGCTTCCACAGCTTCCACAGCTTCTGCAGCTTTTGCAGCTCCTGCAGCTTCTGCAGCTTCTGGGTGCACTACTATTAGAGAAAATACGGTATATAAAAATTTATTGGAATTTCTAAAATGAAAGAATGAATCTGAATTAAGCGTTTGAAAGAAAGAAGAAATAAATAAAGATATTCAGTATATAAATAAATTTAGTATATTATAAGGTTGAGTTTTTCTTGGAGAAACCTTGAAATTTTCGTTTCGAAGGGGCCCTTTTTGGTTGCTAGGATCGAAACAAATGGTCAACTCTTTGTTCAAAGAAAAAAAATCGGAAACTCCTCTCGAGAATTGTCGGGGAATTGTAGTTGGTTTATTGAACATTACATAGTGTACATGTACGATGTACTTGTGCTATGTACTTGTACTGATGTACTTGTGCTATGTACTTGTACGATGTACTTGTGCTATGTACTTGTACGATAAGAGTTCGTGATGATTCCGAAAAATTGACAAGAGCAATCTTATTGAAATAGCGTTTTTTCTTCGATCTGGATGTCACACTAGAATTTTTAGGATTCAGATTTTTGATTTTCACCAAAAAAATTGTACTCAATGTGGACTGCTAAGAGTTAGTGATGATTCCGAAGAATTGACAAGAGCAATCTTATTGTAATTGCTTTTTTTTCTTCGATCTGGATATCACACTAGAGTTTTTAGGATTCAGATTGAATTGATTGATTGCTTGAATTGATTTTCACCAAAACTTGATTTTCACCAAAACTCGATGTGTCCCGTTTTCTCAAAGCAGAAATCTCTGTGCTTTCTATTTGATGCCCCAATTTCCCCTTTCAATCGCAAAGTCCGCCAATATTAGTTGATGTAATGCAAAGCGCGTTTTTTTTTCTTTTTACTGGCTATAGTTTTTAGATTTTTAAGTACATTTTGACATTATTGTTGTTTTTATTATATTGTTTTTATTCGAAATTGTTTATAAAGGGTGTTTATTAATAAGAAATTATTGTTTAAATATTAAAAACATTAAATAAAAACTGCCTAAAATTTTAGCGACGAATTTAGCGAATTAAAAAAGCGGATCTTATCCTAAAAAGTTTTACGACGAAAAAGCGCGGTTGAAACTTTAAAAACAATGATTTTTGTGTGTTGTGAAGCTTTATTTATGGGAGTGGGAGAAATGCGACCTTTTTTTTGCGCACCCGGACATTTGCGCACCTTTTTTTCCGCACCTTACCCATTAGCGCACCTCTTTTCGCGTTTTAAAAAAGCTCTAAAAAGTTAATATTAACCAATTTCTATTCCAAATGTTGTTTTTCTAGGTAATTTGAGGGTGTCGAATTCAAATTTTGACATAACAGAATCATCAAAACGGAACCAATTTGAAAGACAAAACGGCTAGGTCAAATTACAGAAAATTGTTGATTTTTCTCTTTGTATAACTCCGTCCGTTCGCTTCCACAAGCTCTGATATGAGTTGCTATGAATGGAGAGTTCTTTGAACAAAGTTTTAATCGAAACGGTGCTACTAAAATAGGGTGCGGTCGCGGAAAATTCGCATACACTGAACAATTTCGATTCTACGCCCTAAAATTACCTAGAAAGACAACTTTTGGAATAGAAATTGGTTAATAAGCTTTTAAGAAGTTTTTAAAAACGAAAAAAGGTGCGCTAATGGGCAAGGTACGGAAAAAAAGGTGCGCAAATGTCCGGGTGCGCAAAAAAAAGGTCGCATTTGTCCCACTCCCTTATTTATCCAATTTTAACAAAATGTGCTTTCTAGATTCGTAAAATTTAGATTCTTTTCAGCGCTGACAGCTCCAATATAGGGTGTTTCATAGTAATTATTGTTTAAATCAAATCTGCCGAAAATTTAGCGACGAATTTAGCGAATTAAAAAAGCTTATCCGAAAAAGGATCTTATCCTAAAAAGTTTTACGACAAAACCGCGGTTGGAACTTCAAAAACAATATTTTTTGTGTATTGTGAGGCTTTATTTATCCAATTTTAACAAAATATGCTTTTTAGATTCATAAAATTTCGATTCTTTTCAGCACTGACAGCTCCAATCAATTGATTGGAGCTGTCAGTGCTGAAAAGAATATGCTAATCGTATTTTTTTGTTGCTTCTGTTTTGCTGTTGCTTGCAAAAACTGTATAACTTTTGTATTTCAGGTAAAATGGCTGACACGAAATCGTTGCCGGTTTTCGCGTTCATTGACGATTTGCATCAATTGGAGGAATTGAGAGGATATCTCAATAAACTCGGCGCAAAACTTGACCCACAAGGCCCAAAAGAACCCACCGATAATCTCGTCGAAGTGGTCAACACTGTCGCGATGGTCGCTAGCGTGAAGAGTCATTCGGAGGTGAGAATTTGAGTTGCTATGAATGGAGAGTTCTTTTGACAAAGTTTTAATCGAAACGGTGCTATTAAAATAGGGTGCGGTCGCGGAAAATTCGCATACATTGAACAAAACTTTTCGATAATCTGTTAACGTTTTTGATAACGCAGTAAGCGAATAATGTTGCTGATAGATACGTTAATAAGTTTATAGGCTTGTTAATTTTGAATTAAAACCAGTAGCCTTTTAAACTAAAATGGATGACTACGGTTGCTTAGTGTTAACCTGGAAAAAACGTTGTTTAGTTTATCACTGGTTATTCTTAAATAAATCTTCATATTTAGGTCGATTTGATTCTCTCTTCTATATCTTCGTTAATCGTTTGTGTGCCCGGTGATCGCGCGCACGAAGTTGTCTCCAAATTTTGCGCTCAATTGACTAGCGGAAAGTTTGAAGTAGGTTTTGTTGTTGTTTGTTGTTTGTTTGTTGTTTGTTGCTAAAATAAAACTTTAGAAATTTGATGCAATGTTTCTTTTTAGGGTGAAGGATGGCAAAGCAATGCGGGTGCCGCTGTTCGTGTGCTTTCAAATCTTTTCCGTGGATTCGCGAAAATTGGTGACATTCAGCAGGTTTGTGACAAAACTTTACTGAAAATAGTAATGTGAAATGAAAATGTGAAATGAAACCAACAAAATGGTCAATAGAAATGAGTGACTTTAGGTGATCTTCGAAAGTCTCATCTCAATTTGTGACAGCAGCCGTTTGATATCGGATATCGATACGAGTGTGCCAGTTATTGAAGGTGAGTTTTTTTTTTTAAAAGAATGATTCATGCCCTTGATTTTTTAGGTTACATGAAAGCATGGGGAACCGATCGAGAAGGGAGACAACGAATTTTGCGAGCACTTCACGTTGCTTTGTTGCACGATGAACGAGCAGATCAAGCTGCTAAAGTATGTTTTAATTCGCAATTCGCAAAATTCGAATGTTACGGAGAAAGCGAGATAAATCTCAATACTAGTAGATCACTTCGGTGGTTACTTCAGTACTAGAAGGACTCCGGATAATTAGTTTGCTAAGAAAGTTAGACTTCATTGAAACTAAACTTGTTTCAGTTGATTAGTGCTGCTCTTGAACTCTAATTCTCTCAAAAACAAGATACTTTCAATGTTGTGATTAATTTAATTTATTTAGGTGATGCTTGAGCTTCTTGGAACTTACACATCGGCTAATGCTGCAGCGGCACAAGAAGACGCTCGTGAATGTGTTCGAACAGCGGTTGTTGATCCAAAGAGTTTCTCTTTCGATCATTTGGTACGACTGGACGCTGTGCACCATCTTCAGGTATGGGTTTATCATTGCACTTTGTTATATTTACAAAATAATCTGGAAATGTTCAACTTCGATGCTAAGTTAACTGATGACGAAACCCTTTATAGCAATCGGATCCTTTGATGCACGAAGCGCTTGGCCTCTTCACCTCAGGAACACTCAAGGATTATCAATCATTCGTCAAGAAGAATCCGAAATTTGTCCAAGAAAAACTAAAAGTCAGTGACTTTCATTTTCGTACAATGGAACAATGCAAATTTAGGTTGCTGAAGAGATTTTGGTAAAGAAAATGAGATTGCTTACATTGATGAGCATTGCCGAGAAAAATCAAGTTGGTTTTGAAGTGATAAGATGAGTGAAAGTACAATTTAGGTTATTCGTCTTTCCGAATTGGCCGCCGAGCTTTCATTGCCAGATAGTGAAGAACTCGAGGAATTCATCATTGAGGCAATACAAGTGAATGCAATCTCAGGAAAGATCAATGAAGTACAAAGAACATTGTCGGTCACCTCTTTCCAGGTAAATTATTGACTCATTATCTGTTATTTATAAATTGAGATGATGAAGACTTTAGTTAACTATTAATTTTTCTTTATAAGTGTTTATTTTAGCATCGCTCTTTTGGACGAGAACAATGGGCTGGTCTTCGATCTCGACTTTCGGCTCTCATCTCAATGGTAAAAAGCTCGCACGTGAATATCCGAAATGTGAGTTTAACAATTGAATATCTTGAATATCGATTTTATTTCTTTTTAGGTCAATCAAGAGCCTCACGAGACGGTTGCTTAGAAGAAGATCATAAAAAGAAAATCGATGGTTTTAATAACTTCATTCTTTATCTATTTCTATTGGCGTTTGTTAAGAATTCTCTTCCCTGTTCCTTTGTGATAGACAAATTGTGTTTTTTTGTTGAAGGAACTTTATCTGACGCTGTTTTTCTGGTTGACTGTTTGTTGGTTGTTAAAAGATGTTTTAAGAAATAAAATATTTTCAGATACCCATTCATGTCGGGCAGCAGTGAGGCAACGAAAATTGAGGCCAACAATGGATCGGTTGCGACTGGCGGAAGCGAAGATCCGGGGAATATCACCGATCTGACGTTGATGGTTGGTGCAACGACTTCTAAATTGTCAAGCATTCGACGCTGTAGATCTTGAGTTAAATGAATTTTTAGATCCAAGGTGTTCTCCAGCAGACGCAGGATCGTTTCCAGCATTTGTCGGATTCGATCATTAGAAGGTGAGATTTTTGTGATAACATGGGAACTGATCTAAATAATTTTTGTTTAGACTGGAACTGATCTAAACAAAAAAAAGCAAAGGGGTTGTTCGTTCAATTTTCAATGAATTTTTTCTTTTTTAGAATAGATGACATGACGAAGCGAATCGACGATTTGGAGAAGAGCATCACGGATCTGATGACACAAAATCAAATGGAGCAACCTCAAATTTAAAAACAAGAGCAAAAATGATTGATTTTGTGGTTTGTAAACTTTGTATTTATGACACACCTCTTAGCCCAATTGTGAATTCCAAATACCATTTCATTTTTCTTTTTGAGTCATAATTTTAGGGTTTTCCCCCTTGAACTTAGCTTGTACATACATGTGCCTCTTGTCTTATAGTATTAATTTTAACGTTTTCTGTATTGCCATTCCTGTCAAAAGTTGAGTAAATTGTGTAAAGCATTGTGTTGAGTAAATACATAAGACCGAAGATCTTTGCAATATCTTTCTTTTCTTTTGAAAATCAGTGAATTGCAAACATAACTATGACACATGACTATTTGTTATTGTTAAAAAAAGTTATTAGCTTTTGAGCTAATTAAAGTTTATTATGCTTTTAAGCTAATTAAAGTTTATTATGCTTTTTTAGAAGTACTTCAACTGTAACATTGCATTTTGACACTAAAAAAAACCATGTTTATAGGATTCATTTTACAAGCAGATGAACTTCTTTCGAAAGCACTTCACCAGTGAACAGAAGGAATCATCGACTCCCCGTGTCTCGAATCTCGATACGAATCAGAGAGATCTCATATGGAAAAGAGTCAACGACACGTCGAATAAGGGAACAATTGAAAGGACAAAGTTTTTGGTGAGTTTTTCAAGGGGAAAGTTTCAATCAAAGGGATGTGCTTTATGCTCATTTGTTGGATTTGTTTGGTAAATGTTAGAACTCTTTGTTGTTAGAAATGTTAGAACTCTATCTATCACTACTTTGATGTAGGAAAAGTCATATAAGAGTCTTCATAGAGATAGAAAAGACTTCATAGAGATAGAAAAGTCTTCATAGAAATAGAAAAGTCTTCTTTAAATCCTATGTATCTGGTCTGAATTCATTTTTAGGAACTCTATCAACAGTTGGCCCCAATCACCGAGCGTTTATATGTGCATTTGAATGGAAAACACGGAAAAGTATGCTTTTGGTGATAGATTTTTTTTTGGTGTAGAAAGGGATAGAAGTCGGCATTCTTTCCCTTTAAAAATCTTTATTTTTTCAGGTTACACCACAATCCGTACTGTCGCTAGCCGACCAATTGCATGGCGATTGTGAGGAGATCGTCACCACTCTACTAGAGATTTATTCCGATTTAAAAACGGTAAGATTTTCTAGATAAGTTTATCGTACAATTTTTTTAGATAAACGATTTCTAGATTTTCTAGAACACAAAGCTAATTTGCTCTTTTTAGGTACTGTCATCACTTGTCGATTGTCTTGCCACCCGAAAAAATCTCTCGTTAAGTGAAAAAGAGAAAGTTCAGCGATATTTGGTGGATGATGCTCCATCGGTTCGTTTTTTAAATCTAGATACCTAATCATATCGACAGATATTGACCTAATCGTAACCCAATCATGATTGACCTACCGTAAATACTGTAATAGTACCCCACCCCCAAAATGACGGTGCCAAGTGTTGCGTAGTCTAGCTTTGAACGAGATTTTCTCGACACTGGTTTATGCTACAATGTGCGCTTAGGTATCAAAAAATAGCCCTGAATTTCAGCTATTTTTTGATACCAAAGACGCATTTTTTGGAAGTACGGGCGCTTTGAAAAAAATGAAATACTAAAAAACTTTTGCGACTACGCGACTGTACGAGGGGGGGTGGGGTACTATTACAGTATTTACGGTAATCGTAACCTAATCTTGAATGCGATAAACTGTTATCTTAGGGAGACTTTGTAGTTTAAAATTTTAGGACTCATCTCGTTTTGGTCGTTGGCTGCACGCGAATCCGTTGATGTTGCCGTTAATTCGCTTTATCTTTGCCCCACTCTACTTTGAGTCGACTGATCGATATGATTTGTATCCAAAGTAGGTTTTCTTTTGCTAACTTTTAACCAAGTCAATATAGTTGTGGTAAATTTGAAATATTCGAACTACATTTGATGTTTTAGATTGAGCACAACATCGGATATCCTTCAAATGAGCGCCCTCATTGCAATCAATGCCAATTTGCCGATGGAGCGACGAAAAGATTGGACGCTTCTCTTTTCAACGTAAGTTTTAAATCTATATTTATCTATAGACAATAACTTTTTTTGATAAACATCATAATTATAATTTGTATTTTATAAATTGATCTCTTTAGGAATCGACATTTTATCAATTAATCTCTTTAGGAATCGACAAGGTGCATCGTTTTCGCAATTGAGTCAGAAAATTGATGCACAAGGTGAATTAGAGTGAAACGTCAAGAGTTTTAAGGTTTTTTTTTTGAAATTTTAGGTCCTTGTCTATTGGTGGTCGAATCGAGAGAGGGACACGTTTTTGGGTGTTTCGCTTCGGATGGTAAGCAAATTTTGATTGTTGTATCATGAAGTTTTAAAATAAACTAACGTTATTTTATTCTATTCGTATTTATTCAGGTTTTTTTACGGGTCCTCTATTTCACGGTGATGCCACCTCATTTCTCTTTGCGGCAAGCCCAGAAATAAAGGTATTTTTATAGTTTTACACACCGTAAAATATGTCGTAGCCGATTATGAATGAAATTTCTTGGTAAATCTTTCTAGTAGAGCAACCCTTTAATGTATGAGGACAATATTATATCATCTTGTAGCGAATTAAATTCTGCGTCGATTGGTACCAAATTTGTGAGTTTAGGTTAAAAATTACCGGCGCTACAACGTTTCATTCAATCGGCTACGGCGGGACCCCCGTAGCCGATTATGAATTAGTGGATCTAGGAGCGTCCAACCATCAAGTATTTGGTGTCATTCAACGCAGAATCATTGATAATTATGTGAAATTTTTAAAATTAGAAAGATTGGATAAAAAGAAAAAAAATTAGAGCAAAAAAACACTGTTTGTTCTTTGAAGAGGAAACTTTGAGGCTCCATAATTTTTTTCTTTTTATCCAATCTTTCTAGTTTTAAAAATTTAACATAATTATTAATGATTCTGCGTTGAATGATACCAAATACTTGATGGTTGGACGCTCCTAGATCCACTCATTCATAATCGGCTAAAATTCATAATCGGCTGAAATTCATAATCGGCTACGACATATATACTGTTGTTTTTAGATTTCAAATGCCACAGGACATGTGAAAAATTACGCCTACATGAACTATCAACAGCAACAAATGCCGAATGGAATTGTAAATATTTAGAAAAAAATCGTTATTACGTAGAGTGCTGCTCTAAAAGCTGCTCTAAAGCTGCTCTAAAAGCTGCTCTGAAAGCTGCTCTAAAAGCTTCTCTGAAAGCTGCTCTGAAAGCTGCTCTAAAAGCTGCTCTGAAAGCTGCTCTAAAAGCTGCGCTAAAAGCACTAAAAGTTTAATCGCTATATTTAGCGATAGCGATTAGCGATCATTAAGCATAGGGCCTAGCTAAATTGATCCGAATTAATTAAAAATTAGACACTGTGGTTATTCGTTTCTTTAGGGACTTGGTGGCTACGAGACGGTTTGGCCTTTCTTCATTCACGAAGAATTTGGACGAGGGCAGTGCGCTCGACACGTGGCTTCATTCGAGAAAATTGATTTATGTGATGGATCGAGCGAGTTCTCAATTAAATGTAAGGATTTATAAAAGATCAAAGGAAACGGTTACATGGAAATCATTAGACAATAATTTTAGCATTTTAGCAATCGAGGCCTGGCGGTGCGGAGAGAAACCGAGGAATTTCAACCCCGACGGAGAAGAACCGACGACTCCGCATGCGCACAAATCTGTGCTTGACATTGATCCACAAGTCTGCCTTTTGTTAATGCTAAGACAAAAATTTGAAAAAAAGCTAGTGCCAGTGGAAAAGAGCAAAAAATTTTGGATTTAATTTACTCGGTAACGGGGCTAAATTTTTTTTTTTCAATTTAGAGTGACTCCTTTCAAACGAACACTTGGGTAAAAATTTTAAGCATATATTGGGTTGGTGAATTGAAAACTGCGGGCTATTGTCATATGTGACAATTTGAGCACTTTCTTCAAAAGAAACCCATTTTAGTGTCAATGGAAAAGTTGTAGAGAATCAAAAATGAAGTTTATATCCAAATTTTCAGAACGATTCAAAAACTGGTTTTCAAGAAATGCAAAATTTACGAATTTTCACAAAACTTGCAACAAAACTTGCATTTTAAGCGAAAACTACTAAGTGTATCTTTTTGGAAATTTGGCTATAAGCCTAATTTTTGATTCTCTACAACTTTTCTATTGACACCAAAATGGGTTTCTTTTGAAGAAAGTGCTCAAATGCTCAAGTTGGGACATCTCCAGTCCCCCATTTTTGAGTCTCACACTTGTCTGATAAAACTGACTCGCTCTAAAATAAGCAGCCTTGTTTGGGAACTTTTGGCGCATTCCCCATACAGTCCGGACCTCGCCCCTTTTGATTACTATTTATTCCGGACCATGAGTAATGAGTTTGCGGGAGAACACTTCGATTCGGAAGAGGCAGTCAAAAATTGGCTCGAAAAGTTTTTCGATTTAAAACCAAAATCCTACCACGAAAGAGGAATCCGCAAATTACCTGTAAAATGGGCAGAAGTCGTCAATAATAATGGAAATTATTTGGAATGAATTGATGGTTTTATGTTGAATCAATTTTAGTTGTTAAATTTTAGTTCAAAGTCCCGCAGTTTCACCATTCACCAACCCAATAAAATTACCCAACAAATTTACAAACAAAACAAAATAACAAATTTATCTAACCATTTATATTAACTGCTTTTCATTAGTTTCCACATAAAAGCAAAGCTAAAAAGTTGTTTTTGAGTTTAAAAAGCACGTACAAAAGCTTAACTCTACTGATTTGCTATAATCATTTTTCTATTTTCAACTTTTTCAGGCTAAAGCTATATTGGAGATGAGCGGTCGAAAGATGCACTCCGAAGCCTACCGTGATCCGGAGCCGATGCTCGATTGAGATACCCTATTTGGATATGATTTGTGATTTAGGTTTTTTTTTTTTGTATTGGGCATGCTTATAGGCGAAAATAGGAAATGGGTTACGGTGAAAAGCGCCGAAAAAATGACGACAATAATTTATTTGTGAATTTTGACGCTAAATTTGCCCATAAGCAAGTCATTTTGGATTCAATTACGGTTTTTTCTTTCTTCGACATTCCTCGATCTGGCACTTAATGATTTCTTTGATAGAACTTTATGTATTTTCTAGTCATTTTTGAGCATAGTTTTCGTATAGAATTCGAAAATCTCATTTTATTTTATAAATTTAACACATTGAATATAAAATAAATATATGAAAACGGCTGTTTTTTTAAAAATCTTGAGAAGATCTTGTTTTGAACTTCAACTCTTTAGACTTTTATAATCCCTACTATAATCCTTCTTTTTTTTGTTTTCTCGTAACACCCCAGTTTGGACTTGAGAAATGAGCTGGGAAAATGAGAATCAGGCTTTTTAGGTGAAAGAAAGAAAGAAAGGAAGAAAGACAGGAAGAAAGACAGGAAGAAAGACAGGAAGAAAGACAGGAAGAAAGAAAGAAGGAAAGAAAGAAAGAAAGAAGGAAGGAAAGAAAGAAAGAAAGAAAGAAACGATTTGTTCGTGGGTCATTTTTTTTTTTTTGAAGAAATTCTAATTCTGACCACAACTTGAGGTCACTCTCTGGGATTTTTGAGGTGAAACTCTGGGCAAGTACGATGTGGTACCGCTTGCGAATGATCTGGAAAAGGGCGAGGAAAAAGTGATTCACGAAAATTCACATTCAGTCAGAATGTTTTTTTTTGAAATTTTAGTTAAATCTTATTGTTAGATTTGATTTGTAGATATTGTTTTGCATACAAATTTGAGCTTTTATTCAAATTCAATGTTATTCGACTTATTTTGATCAGTAGAACTTCTGTAGATCACTTTTTAGATATTTCGATATCTTTTCTGAATCATCATCGAGACAGAAAAGTGAATAGATTTGGATAGAAATAGAGATTACGGTAGAAGAGAAAGACGCTTTAGAAAATGTTCTTTAGAAAATTCTGTTTTTGTACTTTTGAAGATGAAATCTCAAGTATTTGATTGAGTACTAAGTCCTGAAATCAAAGGATTTTCGAATTGAATAAGTGAGAGAGAATGAGGATGAGGATGAGAATGAGAATGAGAATGAGAATGAGAATGAGAATGAGAATGAGAAGAAGAAGAAGAAGAAGAAGAAGAAGAAGAAGAAGAAGAAGAAGAAGAAGAAGAAGAAGAAGAAGAAGAAGAAGAAGAAGAAGAAGAAGAAGAAGAAGAAGAAGAAGAAGAAGAAGAAGAAGAAGAAGAAGAAGAAGAAGAAGAAGAAGAAGAAGAAGAAGAAGAAGAAGAAGAAGGTATCTCCTTTCTGTCTCTTTCATCTTTCCCTTTGTTCCTTCTGGAATAATAAGAAGAATAATAAGAAGAATAATAAGAATAAGTTTCTAATTGAAATGAAACCCCAGGAAAGACTTACTACTCAATCAACTACTCGTTCTTCTTTAGCTCAAACAAATCAATCCTTTTTGTCAATAAATGACTACCTAGAAACTAGAAAAGTTGAAAATCGGTTTTTTTAATTTAATAAGAAAGCAAAAAGAAAGCAAAAACGAAGCAAATCGAGAATTTGACAGTGAGCGGGATTGAACCAGGTTTAGATGGTGTGAGAGGCTGGCACACTATCCCCTAGGCTATCTGGATGCTTTTTCCAGCGAGGAAATTCAGCCTTAAACCCCGGCGATCTCGTTTTTTCAAACATTTTCTATTGGTTCAATAAAATAGTTAATTCCCTCTGAAGTAAACGAGATAAAGTGCCTTGTGGTGTAATGGTTAGCATCGTTGGCTGCTAAGCGAAAGGTCCTGGGTTCGAGTCTCGCCAGCGAAAGTCTTTCATTTCCCCAAATAAATTGAAAAATGTTTCGTAAAACTTTGAGCGCTTTTTTTGAGAATTCCATTTCTCAAATTCCATTCCTCTAGTTAGCCTAATTTCCTAATTTCTTTGAAATCCCCTAGAGAAATATGAAAGGAAACAAGCTGAGGCCACATTACAATATTTACGATCACTCTAGAGATATTTTCGCTTCCGAGGCTGACCCTTTTCTTCTCCCCTCCCCAATAATAAAAGGATGACCCGACGAGAGATTTGTCATCGAATTGTGACAGATGCTCATCAAAGAAGAAGAATCCTAAAGCTTTGTACTCTTTTTGCTGAAATTAGAGTCTGCTTTGCTACTTGTACTCTTTTGCTGAAAGAGTTAAGTGTTTGCTAAAAAAGGCTCAAAGACCGTAATCCCTAAAAAAAACAATGCTTAGCTTTGCCTGGTTTAATGGATTTTTGAAAGATTCGAATTGTAAGCAAAGATCTGGAGCTAGCTGGATTCTGGAGCTGGCTGACTCTGGAGCTGGCTGACTCTAGAGCTAGATTCTGGAGCTGGCTGATTCTGGAGCTAGATTCTGAAGCTAGCTGACTCTGAAGCTAGCTGACTCTGAAGCTAGCTGACTCTGAAGCTAGCTGACTCTGAGCTAGCTGACTCTGAAGCTAGCTGACTCTGGAGCTAGCTGACTCTGGAGCTGGCTGACTCTGAAGCTGGCTGGCTCTGAAGCTGGCTGGCTCTGGAGGTAGATTCTGGAGCTAGCTGACTCTGGCTTCAAAGACTAGCTGCATTAGCCAGAAACGAGGCCAAGATTTACTAGAAAAAGGCACGAAAGTTAGCTTTCATTCTTCGAGTTCTTTCTTCTTCGAGTTGTTTCTTCTTCGAAATCTATTCGATTTTCTATAAAACTCGATCCCCATTCGACTTTTTCAGAAAATTTTCTCATCAACACTGAGGAAATTCATCAAGAAGTTAGGGTTTTCGCTGAGAAAGCTCGAAAAGAGAAAAGAGGCAAAGATTCATTGATATCGACCCTTCATTGCCTTTTCTGCACACCCATCAACACGATAAATAATTAAATGGGTTGAAGAAATGGGGAAAGACGGGAAAGAGGAAAGGAAACGACCCTAAAGGAATCGAGGAATCGTCTCCTTTGCCCTTTTCTCCAATATGGGCCTCTTTGTAGAAATTATAGGCTTTTCAAAAGGCTTTCAAAGGCTTTCAAAAGCTTTATGTCTTTGAAATCTAAGGAAAAGCTGATGAGAATTGCAGAATTTCATTGTTTGGGGGAATGACAGAATTGAAGGAGAACAGAACGAGAAGAGAACTGGTTTAACTAGGATTCAAGTCTAGAACTAGAACTAGAACAAGTCTAGGAGAACAACTCGACTAGAACTAATTTACCCAACACAGCTTTGCCCGGGATCGAACCCGTGTCCATCACCGCACCTTCAGCTTAGAAACCAAGACTCCTAACCACTCGGCTATGATAGCATAAAGATCTAGTCGAAAAAACGGGCTAAACCAGCTGAAAAGCTATCTAGAACTTGAAGCCAAACTTGAGTTGAAAACTCGTTTAAAACCCTTTTTTCTGAGACCGGGACCGTTGCAGTGGTGGCCGAGTGGTAGTGCGTTGGGATGCAAGGCGAGGGCGAAAGGCGAGGGGCTCGGGTTCGAGTCCGCTAGCTGATTTCTTCTTTCTTTTTTTTCGTTTTGCTTTGGTTCTAGGTAATTCTAGGTAATTCTAGGTAATTCTAGGTAATTCTAGGTAATTCTAGGTAATTCTAGGTAATTCTAGGTAATTCTAGGTAGTTCTAGGTAATTCTAGACTACATTCATTATAGAATTCTTCCCTCTAAGTGTTTGATTTCGATTTGAAGTTGAGTTCTCTTTAGTGAGCTCTCTTTAGTGAGCTTTGGAGATTGCTTTGGATGAATTACGTAAAGCTAACAAGCGTAAAGCTCTAAGTGATTGTCGAAGCTTCGAAAAGCTTTTCCCAGTTTACTAGCTTCAATTTTCTGTAGTTTATCCTTTTGTTTTCAATGATAGTTTACTTTTAAAAGTGTTTCTTTGATCAACTTTCCAAAAAGTCCCTTATCACCTTTGTGGGAGTGAGAAAAATGGGGCAATATTGTGACACTGTCGGGGTGGACAACTGACACTCATCCCGTTGGGGAGAAGAGACCTTCATAACGATAGATGAAGGCAAGTGTAAAGGGATCACTCATCCAATTTGAAAGAAGTCACCGCCCATTCTGAATCTGAAAGGGAGGAAGGGAAGAAGGGAAGAAAGGGAGGAAAGGAAGGAAGGAAGGAAGGAAGAGAAGGAAGGGAAGAAAGAGAAGAAGGGAAGAAAGAGAGGGAAGGGTAGAAAGGAAGAAAGAGAAGAAAGGGGGGAAGGGAAGAAAGAGAAAATAATCGGCTAGCTTACAAGTTGGAGACATTTTGATGATGTAGGAGAAAGCCACAATTGCTGGGATTAGTGAATGGGGTTGCTGTTGTAGAAAAACCCTTACTAGACAAGTGTATGTTAGCGCCAAAGCTAGAGTCGATTCCAGCAAGTGCTGGGCTGAGCTGTCAGAGCTGTGAGAGATATCAGAGCTGTCAGAGCTGTGAGAGCTGCAGAGTTGCAGAGCTGTCAGAGCGATCAAAGCTGTGAGAGCTAGCTAGATCAAAATCAATGAAGAGCCAACTCCAAAGTCAGAACTAGGTCAAAGCCAAAGCTAAGCTTTGACTCAAATGAAACCATCAAGCCAGAGTCAAAGTCGAGTCGTAGAGCGAAGATTCGTTCAGAGCCAGTCTTATTCAATTCAGCTCAAATCTAAGCTTTTCTTTTACAGTAACGGCGATCGTCTGAAATGTCTGGAGTACTGTAGAATCTGGAGTACTGTAGAATTTGCTTTTGAGAGCTTGGGTGAGCTTGGGTTTAAACTTTTGTTTAAACTCGCATTTAAACGCGTTTCTTTCTCAAATTTCGAATTTGATCACGATACTGTCGGTCCCGTTTTCTCTAAAACCACCAGGGGTTCCAGTTATTTTTATTATCTCAGGGTGCAAGCTGGATGTCACATAAAACCATGAA